CCATGGTGTGTACAAATAAATTCCACAATGCACGATTATTTTCCACATTTCACTTTATTACTACAGTAAGTTATGATGCATATATTTACAATGTTTCATTAAAATTAAAGCATCAAAAATACCCATATTGGCGCTTTAAATAAAATATTCATGCTATCATAGTCCAATTCCGTTTCGTTTCTGTTTATTTTTTTTAATTTAATTGTTATATTGCGAGGACACGTGTGTATGTTTTTTGTTATATATCTCTGTGTGTTATAAGGTAATCCACGGTGGACTTGATTAATCTATAAAACAGAAATGACTAAAGCCGCTATGATACATGATAGCAAAGCACCCCAGTCGTCGTGCCGTGTCGTGCACGATATGGGTTATGTGATGTAAAATACACATTCAGTACACGGCAGCTGTGGCATTTTATAATACCAACATATGCCACTACTGTGGAACTGTAGACAAACCATACAATACTGTATGCAAAATATTGTTTATAATTATTATGGTTAACATGGAAATGTGACTCATCCATTTTTGCTATCTGGAGATTTGTCACGCTGGTCGTTACTATCATCCGGAAGCAGATTGTCATTATCTCCATCATCATCGAAAAAGTCGTCATCATAGTTGTTGTCATCATCCCGTTTATCGTTAACGTCCGGGACATCATGATCATCCGGGATATCAGCTTCACTCTCTTGGTCTTCCTCTTCATCCCTTTCATTCTCTTCCTCCTCATTTTTCTTTTCTCCGTCATTCTCGTTTTGATCTTTATTATCATCGTCATCTCCGTTATATGAAGGATCGTCATCCCCAGTAAGCACCTTTGAGTCGCTTTCCGATTGTTCCTCGTCAATTGGTGTCATGTCGCGTGAGGATGGTTGTGATTCAGTTATCCATATTTCGACTATGTTTGCGAGGTCTAAACGGTCCGCTAATTTCAGCGCCTTTCCCAACAACGGGTATATTTCCTCAACCGATTCCACTGTAGATATCCATGATAGTAGCATGTTATAAGCCATATTCAAAGCCCCAAATTTCAAGTTATCCGCTTGGATGTGAAGCAATTGTACCGACGAAAGTCCAAGATACTTTCCAAGAATTTTCCACTCGATATTACTATCCAGATTGATCGCAATCCCTCGTATCCTACCATCAGTTTTGTGATCTACCAAACAAATCATAGAAAGTTTAGAAGAAAAACATTCTGTGCGTACTGTGATTGTATCTGTAGAGAAGACTACAACACAGGAATGACTAAAAAATACTGAAAATATTGACACGTGCTTAAAAACTCGTGTTCCGCTGGAATCCCCCCCCCATGGTTTTATCTAACTTGGGAGGCAAAAACGTAGCTGTAATTTACCATGATCTGAACGCACTAATAGTCGAAGACCTATTTTCAAGGTTTGGATAGCTTTTACATACCTATTATCCGGAGTGCTTCAAGTCTATTTATGACTGGACCGGCATATACAACACTTTTTCTTACAATACTCTTCAGATTTTTCCACGTCGCATTTTTTCCAGTATTGTCCCTCCAGTCAGACAGACCAATGACAGTCGACTCTTCAAACGACATCGCCCTCAGCCGATATGCCTCATTTGCATACCATTGTGGTTGTAAATATCGAATAATACGGTTGTGATACGGTCCCAAGACTAACGCTAACGACTTCAGTACCTCCAATGATATGACGTCATCATCTTGGTGATATCCTTCTTTAGAATCTGAGCATGAAGAAATAAAAACAAACAATGACAGTATCAATATAAATGTACATATTAAATGTAAAACTATTTTTGCTCAAACGTCGTAATAAAAGCTTTTTGAATATCGTGTACACGATAAGATTCATCTGACACGACGATTCTGGCAAAATCTGATCACGTGAACAGCAATATATGAACGAAAAGAAACGACAACACTTTACAGGTGGTCCTCGTCGTCTAGTGACGTAACCAGTGATCATGTACGTCAGCTTATTGAATGCCTTCCCGAGTAACCACACTCATATCATAATTCAAATGCACGAAGATTCTGGAGTTGCGTGAACACTATTTGACGAACTATTTATTGCGCATGCACTTTGAATTAATAGTACGTACCAGTAATTAAAAACGCATGCGTATTTTCACGCATACAATAAGTGAATATCAACACGCGCAATCCAACACACATACTAAACAACACAAAGATATTGTCATATAGACCACGCTGCTTCCTCACCGATCTTCTCGTCTGTGACATCGGCCCCACCATACAACAAAGGTGCAGAAAGTACGTCTGGAGTGAAGTCTCTACTTTCATACATGGCCCCCAATATATGATCGACTTTCACTTCAATACGACTCAGTCGAGTTCGGTAATCGGGTGTGAGTGCTGCAATGATTACAAATACATGTATATGTGATTTTAATATATATCGTAACATGTAAATTTGCATTATTTGGTTTCTTCGAAAATCGCAGAAAATACGACGCATTGCGGCACTTAGAACACGCATTGCTTTGTATATCAGTATATAGAACAAACATATATTTCAGTACGTAGAACACATATTTCAGTACGTAGAACACGTATTGCAGTGCAGATAATACGCATTGCAGTACAGAGTACACGCATTTAGCAACTTAAATCATTTACTATTTTTAATGGAAGAATATTTTACTATTTTTAATGCAAGAATATCCATATACTTACTGTCAAATTCGTTGTCAGCTTCGCCAGATCTCTTTTCCTCATCGTATTTCGTCTTCTCACGCAATGTACGGGAATAGAGATACTTATTTTGATTTTTCAGAGCATCCAATAAACACGGGAAAGTACCACGCCTTCCCTTTAAAGTTTCTATAAGCCAAGTGGTTTGCTTCACATAGCCACCTATGTTCTGAAAACATAAAGCTCAAATATTTCATTACAAGACCTAAAAACCGAGGGCGAACACGTTGAAGATGGATACATCCGGGTATAATCTCAAGTGTCCGTAACATATTTACATTCGGGTATGCTCTCAGCTATTGTCCGTAACTAAGATAGGTACATCCGGGTATGCTCTCAAGTGTCAAATTCAATATACTAGTAGTCGATAACATGAGTCTGATGAGTACATCTAGATACACATGAAGTGTTCCTAATAATGTGTTTTTTTTAAAATTATTTTTGATAATGGTCGATGTGTTTTCTGAAATCCCGAGGACAAGCCTGTTTGACGTGAGTAGTAAATCTCAACTTCTGCCCACTTGGGTCACGTTTTCATTTTGTATGGGTGGTCTTTGCCAACATCTCGATGGTGCAATTTCTACGACCAGAGATTTGTTTTGTTAAACTCCAAAATACGTGTGAAGAAAAAAGGCACCTGCCCATTAATTTAGTTCATCTGTGGGGCACAAGATTTAGATCCTGTAGTACTACCATGGTTTATTTATTTTCTTACATTACCACGAGGGGCACAGAACGGGGTAGGTAAATGTGAACAACATTTGGTGAGCAAAATTCCGCGAGCAACATTTTTAAAATCATAAGAATTGTATTCACCAAATCAGACAATGAATCCCTGTAGTAAATAGTGATCACAATTTTCCCATACTTTGATATAGTGGGGATGGGTAGAAGAGTCAACTAGTATTTAATATTTATATTTAAAAGTTACTGATTTTTTTAAAACGTGATATGGAAATATATATACCCCTATATTGAAAGAAAGTGCGTACATGTGTACATTTTGCTCACAGTGATTTATTTATTTATTTATTTTGGTGAGCAAAATGTCGCTGACTTGCACCGCTTGCCTGATCTCATATAATACACACTCAATACTGACTCTCGACTTAGTCAGTTGAAAGGAAGATGTTCTTTTTTTTTAGCAATCTAGCATTATAAATTACGCTTACAGTGGATGGCTCTGTTAATAATACCATAACGGCAGCCAGGCCGTCCTCACCAACGACCTGATACGACAGCGTCGCAAATTGGGTATCACCTTATTATCGTTTTTTTCACAATCAAATGGTACCTGCCGATTCATTGCCTAGTATAATGTGAACCAACTGAAGTGTGCTGAAGTGTGTGACGTAGTGCCTAATAATTGTTATTGTGTATATTCTTGTACAGTACAACTCTCTCGTGATAAACATGTATACAAACATTCCAGCACGTTCAGTCGATCGTTGGTCCGTTCCCGAAAGATAGTACACTATAATCGCCAATACAGTCTCTGATGTTTTGTTTCAATTTAACAATCACTTATTGTACTACCGCCGCTTACCTTGTACGCTTCAACGTCCCTGTTGTTTAATATTCCATTATGTGCGAGATTGGTTACCATCGACTTCACGTCCAAATGAACGACAAACACATCTTTAAGTTTATCGAGAACATATCGCTCGCCCTTGTTCATATTGTCACATTACAGTAAAAATAGATCATCGAAAACATAGGGGAACACGATCAGATTACACAAAGTACCACTGCATGACCTACTTTGACCTCGAGTGGTGTGCGTATGTTTCGTCGCGTTGGTGCCTGATAATAAACAGGGCGGAGGTCAATCCAGCGATGAATGTATGTACATACGCGAATGTACTTCGACTGTCA